GGGCAACCCAAAGGCCAGGGCCCCACTGTAAATGCCGGAGCTCTAAAAACTCAGACTCATAGCTGCTCCACTGAGTAATGGGAGAGGTTTGAGGGCAACAGATACTGCCTGGGGAGAGTACCCCTCCAGCCTTTTCCATGCTCCTTGTGGCAGTGGGAACAACAAGTTTAGTTTTCCAGGGCTCTGCTCCTTGATCTGTCTGCCCACTAGCTATTTCAAGTATCCTCCTTTCCTAGCACAGCCCCTTCACATTTAGGATGGCAAAATTCAGTGTTACCTAGACAGTTGAGAAACCCTGGGCTAATTCTTTAAACCACCTCTATTTCTTACATTCTTTCTTAAGTATCGTCTACTGCCTACTCTTGGAGAAAAAAAAAAAAAAAAAGTACTGAGCTGCCTGGACCAGCTGATTGCCAAAATCAGCACCAGAAGAATGCAGGAGGGTGGTGGTCCTTCTGTTTTATATAGACTACCTGAAGCATAGCAAGGAAGAAAGATGCCAGGGGAGATGTCCTGCTGGACCTGCTGCAAACAAGAAAGAACTGGTTGAAGATGTGAAGGTGCAGTCTTGGCTGCAGCAAACACAAGACTGTAGAGTTGAAAATCTTGAGAGAAATGACCAAGGCAAGTAGTAGAATCACAACCCTGGACTTCAAGAAAGCAGATTTTGGCTTACTCAGGAATCATCTTGGCAGGATCCAATGGGAGACTGCCCTAGAGGGCATGGGGCCCAGGGACAGCTGGTTGATCTTCACGGAGAACCTCCTCTAAGAAAAAGAGCAGTCCGTTCTGATGCACAGAAAATCAGGCAGCTATGGCAGGAGGCCAGTATGGATGTACAAGGGACTCCCAGCTGAGCTCCAACACAAAAAGGAAGCGTACAAAAAGTGGAAGCACAGATGGGCTGCCCAGGAGGAATAGAGAGACACTGCTTGAGCATGGAGGGCTGGTGTAAGGAAAGCCAAAGCTCAGCTGGAGTTGAAACCAGACAGGGAGGTGAAGGTTAACAGGAAAGGCTTCGGTAGGCACACTGGCAGCAAAAGGAAGGATGAGGAAAATATGGGTCCGCTGCTCCAATGGAGCACGGGACACAGTGACAAAGGACGTGGAAAAGGCTGAGGTACTCATTGCTTTTTTTGCCATGTTTTTTTCACTGATATCGTCTGCCCTTAGGCTTCCCAGTTCCCCAAGCCTAGTAGCAGCCTGTGGGAGTGAAGCAGTACCCGGCACAGCTGCTAGGGAGCACTGAAGCCAACTGGACATACACAAGTCCACAAGACCAGATGGGATGCAACAAAAGCTGCGGGAGGAGCTCGCCAATGTCATTGCGAGGCTGCTCTCTATCATCTTTGAAAAGTTACGGAGATCTGGGGAAGTTCCTGATGACTGGAGATGAGTAAAGGTCACACCTGTCTTCAGGGAGGGCAAGAAGAAAGATCCAGGGAACGACAGGCCAGTCTGCCTAACCTTAGTCCCTGGGAAGGTGACAGAGCAAATCCTTCTGGAAGCCACATCCAAGCACATGAAGAAGAAGGTAATTGCGAACAGCCAGCATGTATTTACCAGGTCAAATTGATTGCTTTCTACAATGACATCACTGGCTGTGTGGACAAAATGGGAGCTGTGGATGTTGTAAACGTTTTACAAAGCTTTTGACATGTTTTCCCATAGTACCTTTACAGTCAAATTGGTGAAATACAGCTGGGTAAGTAAGTGGACTACAAGGCAGGTGGAAAGTTGGCTTAGCCATTGGCTCAAAGAGCCAGTGGTACAAAGTCCAACTGGCTGCAGGTTACTACTGGCATCCCTCAGGGATTGCTGCTGGGGCCAGTACTGTTTCATGTCCTTTACTGATAACCTGGATGATGCGATGGGGCGCAATCACAGCAAATTTGCAGACAATACTAAACTGGGGGTTAATGATTGATAAGCTGGAGATCGGGGCTTCTATGCAGAGTGTCCTAGACAGGTTGGAGGAATGGATTCACAGGAACTTCATGCAGCTCAACAAAGGCAAATGCAAAGTCCTGCGCTGGGGGAGAAATAGCTTTATGCAACAGTAAAGGTTAGGAGTCAACAAAGGAGCCTAGTGGAAAAAGACTCGGAGGTCCTGGTGTACAGCGAGTGGAACACGAGTCAGGAGAGTGCCCGTGCGGCAAAGAAGGTTGACCACACACAAGGCTGCTCCTAGCAAGAGTGTAGCCAGTAAGTTAAGGGAAGTGGATCTTCACCTCTGTTTGGCACTTGTGAGACCATACCTTACAAGTGACCAGTTTTGAGCTCCCCAGTACAAGAAATAGATTGATATGCTGGATTAAGCCCAGCAGAGAGCCACCAGGCTGGTCAGGGGACTGGAGCTCATGATGTATGAAGAAAACCTGAACGAACTGGGTCTGTTCAGCCTTAAGAGAAAGCTAAGAAGGGAGCTGATTGCTGTCTACAGCTGCCTAATGAGAGGATGTAGAGAAAACAGGTGCATGGGGAAAGGATGAGAGTGGAGGATGAGGGGCGAGGGACACAAATTGAAGCATGGGAATTTCTGACTCATTACAAAGGAAAAAAAAGGTTACCATGAGGGCAGTCAAACACTGAAAACAGGGGACCACAGTGGCTGCAAAATCTCTTGTATTGAGGTATTCAAAACCGGACCCAACGAGGCCTTGAGGACCCAGCTTTAACTGGCCCTACTTTGAGCAAGGGTTAGAGATGATGACTTCGCAAGTCCCTTCCAATCTACATGATCCCATGATTCTGTGAAGAAGTGTGCCTTGAAGAGAATGAATGAAAGGAGTGAGAGTGATTTACTTTCAACCCACATATATAAAAATTATTTCAATGTCCCTGAATGATCCAGAAATATTCTGGGATGTAAAAAAAAAACAACCCGAAACCAGCTCATCTCTTAAGACCCCATGTCTTCAAGGCATTCCAGAAATTCTTTTTTTTTCCTGACATTTAGTATTGCAATCTTATGAGAACTCACATTTGGCAAAATCCTCCCATATATATCTAATTTAGCCCTCCCAAGTACCCACCATGTGCTTTTAAAATACCACTAAATCATTGCTACTTGAAGCTGACTGCAGAATTTTAAAAAATATTTTACTGTTCTCCCATTTTCCTCTACACACTAAGTCAAGGGCCCTACTACTTCCTAGTTAATGTATGTACGGTATTTATATAGCAGTATCATACTAATTAAACAAATCATGAACTATAACATATGTATTTTTTCATAATACTCCCCTGGGATGTAAGAAATGCTTCTCCCATAATACAGTTGAGAAACTGAGGTACAGAAAAGCATGGAGGTTTTCCAAAGAGAATCTCAGCAGAGCACAAATTGAAGCAAATTCTCTGAACTTTCAAGCTTGTGTTTAACCACATGACTAATTCTTCAAATAAAGCTTGATGAAGTGTACTGTGGCTTTTGGAAACTCGGCTCCCCTGGTGTACCGGCCTTTCATGTCTTCTGAGAAAGCAAAAAAAGGCAAGTGGTTTAGACTAAGAACTGTCTAGAGAGACCAGCAGGATTGTCACCTGGAGAAGGAAGTCCTCTGGCATCCAGAAGACAGGCAAAGGCATAGACCAGTCTGGGCCCAGTAAGTTGGTGGCAGTGACTGAACGGGTTGATTCTGGGTGTGGGTGGGGAACTTTCCTGCATGCAGGCCAAGAAGCACAGGCTAGCTGAGACTTTCACTTTCCCTATGTTTTGGATGAGCCGGTGAAACGCGGTGGAGTTGAATGTGTAGCTGGCCATCTGGAGGATGTCAGCTGACAGCTGTGAAATGAAGGGGAGCTGTCTTCTCTCCAGTAGCTCAAGGGCACCCACGGGGAGAAGTTAAAAACCCTCACCTCTGAGAACTTTGTGCCTGCCCTTCTTTCAACAGACTGCAGCACAGTCATGATTTAGTCTTAATTAAGATGCCAGTCTAAAAACATCCTGTCGTATTTTAAAAACAAGCCTGTTCTTTCTTTGTATATTTTCCCACAAACACTTTTATCACAACCTTGATCTTACAGCACAGACCCGAGCAGAGCTTTTATTAATTGTAAGCTACAACCTTTTGCTATATATTATGCAATGCTTCACTGGAGCCTACAGTTCTGCAGATGAAAAGAGAGACGGTTTATTGCTAAAAACACTAGAGTACATGTACCATTTTAAGCATATCTCTTCCTCTTCATCTCTGGAGGTTATGTGAGATTAAGTTTTACATACAGGGCACGGCTCACCTCTGTCACTGCTCTCAAAGCAATGGCTTTTTGAGAGTGGAATGTCTCCCTCAGGGAGGAAAGACTTGTTTCAGCCCCTACAAGAAAAGCAGATAAGACGCTGTGCCTGCAGGCAGATTACTTTTCCCCTTTGGTAGAAGTTTTTTTACTGTGCATAATTATTATGACTCTGGGACCTGTGGTTTCTGAAATAAATAAATACAAATCTGGCAACCGCAGTTACTTCATTTATAGTTGTAGTAGGAACTTGCCAGGGAGTACAGAAGCAGGCAGCAGAGCAGAGCCTATCTCCCTTCTGCGGAAACACCGTTTTCAGACTAAAGGACTTTTGTAGAGCAAGAGGAGAACAACAACAGCAACAACAAAACCCCTTTAGGCGCAAGAAACGCCACTCGGCAACCGCGGGAAGACGGGCAGCGGGACCGTTAACAGCCGTGGCGACAGGGACCGCTTGTTTCTACCTCACACGCGTCCTCGGCCAGCCCTGCCTGGCACGGCCGCGCTACCAGCAGCGGCATAAAGTGCCACCAGCTGTTAAAAGACGGGTTAAATCGACGCCCGGCCCCGCCGAGGCGAGCGGGCACCGCGCCGTCCCCTCAGCCGGCGGCGGCGGCCCCCTCAGGCGCCGCGCGCCGCCGGGCGCGGGAAGAGCCCTTTTTCAGCAGTGTGGCAGCTCGCCGCTCCCCGCCCGGGGAACGGGGCGCGGGGGCTGCTTTACGGCAGGCGTTTCGACCTCCCCGTCCGCGCTTTGCGGCTGCGTGGCGGGGTTGGGGGGCGGGGAAGATGTCTGAGCGGGGAGAAGCCCCGGCGGCGGCGGCGGCATCGGCGGGAGAGATGCCGGCGAAGAAGCAGAAGCTGAGCAGCGACGAGAACAGTAACCCCGGGGACCTGTCCGGCGACGAGAACGTGAGGCCGGGCGGGGGAGTGAGGCGGC